GATCTTTTTAAGATTTTCATTGATTACCTCTTGTTTTCTGGTGGTGTTTGTGAAATAGCTGCAGATGTTATTAAAAACACTTCCCAATTGTATTGTCGACAGCTTTTGCTGGAATTTTGAATGATTTTCTTTGAAATATTCCCACAATATCTGCAATGCGTCCCAATTGGCGCCCAAATTGTTGACAAGAGTTACCATATCTTGAGTTTTGACTAGTTTTGAGTCCAGGGATCGATCCAATAGTCTGAACAGAATATTAATTAAGATTGTTAACTATGTACTAGATAGATTGTTAATAATTATAATAGACTAACGTTTTGATAGTCGTAGGGTTTGTGGTATATGAGAGTGCATTGAAATAGGTTTGTTTAACTGTTGACGAGTTTTCGCTCAAGTATTTCGACCACAAGAAGTCCCAATCGTTTGTATCACTGCTCTGTCTCATCGCATATCTCAGAGTCGGTGTCAAGAGATTTGGTCTCAATTTGGTGTCTGATTTAAATTTCTTGTATTCCTCGAGTGCTTTCTCAAGGCATGGCTTATGGTATTGACTGCACACAAACTCAATGATACTAGTCCTCAACCGTTTCTCAGTGTCCGATCCCGTGTCATCCCATCCCAGCTTCTCAAACACTGGTTGTCCTAACTTTACCAATGACTCCATTAATTGAGTCCTTTTGTCTGTTGTGAACATATATTTCTGGATTTGTCTCAACGATTCCAGGGCTACAGTCCATGGCGTCAAGTGCTCCTCTTTCACCAAATACTGCGCTAATTGTAATGGCCTTACGTATGACAAGTAGTTAGCTTTGGACAGTAGGTAGGCGTCGAGTAGGAAGTTAGCCCTATCTCCCGGAGTCAGTGCAGCCAACACTGCGGCGTTATTCTGCAAAGCGTCTGTCCATTTGTCCCAATCCTCTTCCGGGTAGTTAATTATATACATTCCTCTGCTGTCGACATTGAATTTGATGAGTCCATTAGCACTGGGATCCACTAAAACTTCTAAATCTTGTGAAGCCTCGGATACAAATGCTAGCGTTATATCCTTGTTATCAAAATTCTTGTAATATGAGAGCGGAATCGTCCAAACGGTCCTATTATTCAGTATTAGGTCATAATCACAATTATAATG